ACGAGGATCTTTCAGAGATCACCGACGACTGCGGCATCGGCCTCAACTACGACTCCGACCATTACGAGAAGGTCTGAGACCCCCACCCCCAAGCTGCTGTGGGACCCCCCCCTCCTCTCCCCCCGGTGCCGTGGGGTGGGGGGGGGTCGGCTGGGTGCCCTCCGCAGAGCAGTGATGCTCAGCCCCACTGCCACGTGGCCGTGCCTCATTGCAGGGCACCCAAAGCCCAACGTGGAGCTCGCCCTGAACTCGGGGGGGGGACGGACAACGGCCGCCCCCACCTGCGGGGTGAGGTGTGGGTGCCGTGGAGGGGGGGCTATCAGGGGGTCTGACCCCCGGTGCCCTTCATGCATCCCTTTAGGACTGCCTGGTGCTGGAGCGCGGCGAGCAGCCGCACCCCGTCTGCACCTTCCAGGATGATTTCCAGGAGTTCGAGATGATCGACGACAACGAGGAGGAGGAGGAGGAGGGGGAGGAGGAGGAAGAGGAGGAAGGCAACGCGCTGGAGGTCCCCCCGTCCCCCTCGGCCTCACCCATCCCCTCCCCTGCCCTGGAGGACACCCAGAAGCTGCGTCCCACCACGCTCAACCTGACGGCGCCCGGCACGCAGGTGGGCTCTGAGGATGGGGCTGGGGGGCTCGGGGAGGGCAGGCTGGGGGGCTGCAGGGGTGCACACTTGTGGGGCTGCAGGGCTGCAGGGTTGTGGGGATGAAGGGCGGAGGGGCTGTGGGGCTGCTGGGTTGCAGGGTTGCAGGGTTGCAGGGTTGTAAGGTTGTGGGGATGCAGGGTTGTAAGATTGCAGGGCTGCAGGGTTGTGGGGCTGCAGGGTTGCAGACGTGGGGATGAAGGGCTGAGGGGCTGCTGGGTTGCAGGGCTGTAGGATTGCAGGGTTGCAGGGATGCAAGGCTGTGGGGATGCAGGACTGTAGGATTGCAGGGTTACAGGGTTATGGGGCTGAAAGGCTACAAGGCTGTGGGACTGTGGGGATGAAAGGCTGTGGGGCTGCAGGGTTGCAGGGTTGTGGGGATGAAAGGCTGTGGGGCTGCAGGGTTGCAGGATTGCAAGGTTGTGGGAATGCAGGGTTGCAGGGTTGTAAGGTTATGGGGATGCAGGGCTGCAGGGTTGTGGGGCTGAAGGGCTACAAGGCTGTGGGACTGTGGGGCTGCAGGGTTGCAGGCATGTGGGGATGAAGGGCTGAGGGGCTGCTGGGTTGCAGGGTTGTGGGGATGCTGGGTTGCAGGGATGGAAGGCTGTGGGGATGCAGGGCTGTAGGATTGCAGGGCTGTGAGGATGCAGGGCTGCAGGGTTGCAGGGTTATGGGGCTGAAAGGCTACAAGGCTGTGGGACTGTGGGCTTGCAAGGCTGTGGGGCTGCAGG